AATTGTCATGATCTATCATAATTTAGAAATTGTTTCTAGAAAGAAAAATCAATTCGACCATGGGAGCTTGGAACAGGTTTGTGTAAAATAGTTCATCATTAATACAAAATAAGTCACTTGCGTTAAATGGCATTGCACCTCAAAAATGGCTTGTAAGTTTCTTATTCTTGGGAGGTTAAATGCATTAAAACTATGGAAAACTACAGGCACAGCACTTCGCTTCCATTTAAGTAGAGACAGTTTAATTAAAATGGAAAAAAATAAATGATAAAGCCCCTACTATTAATTTAAGCTGCAGATGAATGTTAGTCACAAGCAGTCGCTAATTGAAACCGCTAATATGTATCTATATATACAAAATGTATACTTGACGTATACATGTATATCCAACTACGTCCATTGCATGTCGTCACATAAAAAGTAGCATCTGTCCTTTACAAAAGCATAACACACAAGAAAAGGTTATTAAATTATCATGCAATTGAAAGAGTCAAGAATATTTTAAAGCATAACAAGATAGAACGCTACAGTCGAGCAAGCCCGACAGTAAAATAGCCTGTACTCTCCACAAAAAAGAAAAATTAAAAAAAAAAAATTTTTTTTAAAAAATTAAATTATTAAAAAAAATTAATGAATTAATTAATTAAATTAAATTAGAATATATGTTTATGTTTAGTTTTAACAGCATACATTTACATCACGTACCTATGCGTGTTTATATGCGTGTATGTATGCAGCACAAAGTTGAACCAAAGCAGCAACAACAACAACAGCTGCGGGCAGCGCTGCCGACAGAGGCAGCGCATGAGCAGCGATTTTACTTATGGCTATAACTTTCTTCAGAATTGACCTATCATGATGAAATTTGTCACACGGACACATTAGTACTAACTGGATGTACCTACCAAAATTGATTTCAAAATTCCGAGAATTACGGAAGTTATAAGAAAAAACACGAATTGCGGGGGAGTGGGGGGGTGCATCGAAAAAAAACTCAAACTCGTACTTTCTCGGTCTTAGGAGAATATGGAAACCAAGTTTGGTTATTCTAGCTCTTATACTTTCTGAGATCCTTGCGTTCATACGGACAGACGGACAGACAGACGGACAGACGGACAGACGGACGGACGGACAAAGCTATATCGACTCGGCTTCTCATCCTGATCAAGAATATATATACTTTGTGGGGTCTGCCACGCCTCCTTCTGTGTGTTACATACATGCGCACAAAACTAGTATAGCCTTTCACCCTTTGGGTACAGGCTATAAAAATAGTACTAGATGTGTGCACTTTTTTTTATGTTCATAAAAGACAACTGATAAAGGTACGACTTAACAGTTGTACTCTTAATTATTCAGAATATGCCTGCAGCTGTGTGAAAACAAATTTCTGATACTGCGTGTCACATAAATAAAGCATAACACATCAAGAAAAGGTTATGAGATTATGGTTTATTATTAGATTATTAGGAATGAGGAATTGGAAGAGCCAAACATTTTTTAAAGAACATACTTATGTACAGTGTACTAGATGTGTGCCCCTTTCTTGTGCTGATAAAAGACTACTGATAAAGGAACGACTTAATAGTTGTACTCTTCATTTAGTTTTTCTCAGCTTCTCTAGTCAGAGTGTGAAAACAAATTTTTCAGAGCAGGTTTCTAATTTAAAATCAGTATTTTAAAAGAGGATTGTTTTCTGTTGCTGTTAACAGTTGAATACAATCGTGTGTAAATGGATCCTTCCCTATTCGAAATATTTTTCAACAAATTATTTTCAATTATTACAACATTTTATGACATTGTAGTACTGGTACTATGTTGCCTCACTTTCTTTAAAAAGAATTTTTGAAATTGTTTTATAGAAGGCGCGACGACACCGCTAGACTTGGCATTGGATTTCTGCAGAGGCTATGAAGATGAGGAAAAGGACAAAAGTGTGGAACACCTTCTTTGTTATTGTGCAGCTCTTGGAAGATTCAAGCTTTAGAGCAACCCATTTAAATAGATATACCTAAAGTAGAGTCTGTGGTTAACAACGGATCAATTGTATGACATTAAAAAGGGCCTCTATGGCACCAGCCATCTTAACAGATCTTATATACTACATGTTGCAGAACGATTTAATAGGACTAGCAGCTACACATCACTTCCGAAAAGGAAATATGCCTACAATATATTTATAAGCCCAACTAGTGTGATTCCACGATGATTCCAATTATTATAATTACCGACCCTTTGTTTCTGCATAATTCCTTACATCTTCATATATTAAATTATTGCTTATATTGTCAGCACTTTTATGAAAAAGAGAAGCAGCTGCATTCCATTTTTGATTTCCTAAAAGCTTTAATTTTTAGTAACTTGACTACAAGTTGAACAAAAGCTATTCATTTCTGTATTAAATATTAATAATTAGTGAATACTTATACCCATTTTGTTGGCTATTGTTGGAGATCTTGAAGATTTAAATCAATGTTTTCTCTCTCATAACACCTTCGTCTATCAATTTTTTATGATGATTATTAAGAGCTTTACATATAATAAGCAAGTAAATCAAACAAAAGGAGATGTGTTTAATTAATCAATGAACTCTAATTGTCTAATTGCACGTTGCTGTTTCCGGCACGTTCTAACCACGCTTGCAATTGATAAAAAAATATATATAGTATAAGTATAATAACGGATCGTGGCTCTTTCATTCAGCGTGTGATTTCTGTTAGACTCACATATAGAAAACACATGTATTGTGAGTTATAGGCATTGGGCACGTAACCGTAGAAAAAGTTTCCATTTATTCGATCCGCGGGCAATTGAACTTTAGCATTTAGTGGGGCGCAACTTGGAAAGGGCAATGGAACATTCCCAATCACGTGTTTTCGCCGTGGGTGCGAAATAGAGTAATTGTAATTGGGTTCAAGAAACTTCTCAGTTCGATCACCAAATGCGCCTACTACTCGTATTTATAACGATAAAACGATAGACAGGCCCTATTGCTCAAAGGCTGGCAGCAAGTTGTGATATAGCCAACCACTTGGCGTCCATGACGCACCCATGAGTCGGACCATGTTCAAGATAACTACATACTTGTACATATGTATGTATGTATGTATTTACATTTAGCATGCACATGACTTATGGGCAATGCAAGCGATTCCAACGAACCTCCGACCAGACTTGAAAGTGCAATTTTGCAAAAGTATCCGAAAAAGAAATTTAAAAGCGCACAATTCTACGAATTGTTCAAAGAATAAAAGAAAAAACCAAAAAGAAATGCTTATATTTTCATATGAAAACCATCGTCATGGTGTGTGACAACAGGCGCCAATGAAAATGAAATCGTTCGTCGAGGTCAACAGTTTTCATGACATTTTCAAGACTTCCGCGGCAGCGGGAAATGTGGAAAAAGTGCCAATTTATGCGTGAACGTAATTTAAAAATGTTTAACATTGTCAATACTTTCCAGCTACCCATTACAACACCATTAGGGTAAATATGTTTTTATATTTACAAATAAAATGGTACAACTACCTCGACACGTAAATAATATTTATTATTATGGATCGTGCATTAACTAATCGCTTCAAATTGTGGATTTAATGAGTTATGACAATGCTGTCAGTACTACCTTTAATTTGAAAGTGTGATTGTGATTTGTGTTCTCATTTCAAAAAATTAGGCGCCCTTAATTGTAGTTTAAGCTATTATTGGATAGTGAGAACCTTTTAATATTTCATTATAGCCCCAAACGAAATTGATTTATATTTGGGAAAACAATTGCAAATTCAAAACACGAATTGTGAAAATAAATATAAAACAAAAAGAACATCCATGCAAACAATTTTAATAGTTCGGACTAGACTATTGTAGACTAAGTTGACCGGATATTCTAATTTTTTGTTACCTCAGAAAGCTATATACTCGTATGAATAATTAAATTAAAAATAAATTTTTTATAAACACAAATATGCATTTCGCGTACCGGAGAAGTTTTAAGGCAAATTACTGTACAAAATGAAATGAAATTTCGCAAACGCAGCTGAATAATTTATTTCATAATTATTATTTGTTATATAAAAAACTTGGCATTTTTAGTATTTTGGACAAATCTTGATTTATGTAACAATTTATAAACGAAATAATTATCTATAAATAGTTTTCTGCATATATGGTTTCAGGTTTTTAAAAATATTCTAGACATCTTTGAATGAAGATGCTTGATTTTTTCTTATTGTGCTTTTCTTTTCAGATTTTCTAAATAATTTCGAAACGATTCTCTATGTACCTTTTAAGTTTATTGAAATATAATAGAACTGAGGAACAGAAAACTATTCGGTCTCACTTTTCTATTTTGTGGCCATCAAAACTATTAAGAAACACAAGCGGAGTCGCTACCGCCATTTTTGTACACTTCATGTTTATTAACTTACATATCTATAAAGCTAATATGTGTTTTAAATATGTGGCTAAAATGTTGTAAAAATCAAAAGCGTGTCTTCTATCTATGCTCCCACAACTTTTCACACTATGTAATCACATTATTTGGCAGCTAAATTATTGATTATAAATATTGCCGCCATGAAAATACTTCGGAAACATCGCTCTGTGGTTTCAGGGAAATAATAAATCATAGTATATTTAATATTTTGTAGGTTTTTAGGTAGGTAGGTTTTTGGACATATTGCGGGCACTGTATTATTGTAATTATATGCATATTGTGGCAAGCCTAGAAGGCAACCATCTAAGCAAACAAAGTAGCTCTCCAAATTATAGGGCGAACCATATTGTTTCCTAAGGGTTCTCGAACATTTAAGAAGTAAAATATCAATAACATCAAATTCGGTTTTATAAATATGAATACTATTTAGTAGGCCTGCACTATGTTTGTGAGTAGAAGAGAGATTTAAATCCAAGGTACAATTTTTAATAGAGTGTTGGAAAGTGATGATATTAATATATCAAAGGACTATCCTAGATCCTTTCGAAAACAAAAAACAACCAACCTTTTTGCAATTGTTGTTGGCGCTGTTGTTCTTGTTGCATTTGTTGTTGTTGTTGCTTATAGAGCTGATGATGCATGGCGGCTGCCTGTTGCAAGTCTAGCCAGGGTTGCCACAACAAACTGTTGGCCATGTTGGAATTATGTTGCTGCTGCTGCTGCTGTTGGTGGTGGTGGTGCTGTTGCTGCTGGTGGTGATGTTGGTGAAGCTGAAGCTGCGATTGAGACTGAGACTGTGCCTGTCGCTGCTGATAAAATAGCGGCGATTGGGCAGGAAACTCGGACTGATAGGCGGCTGCGGCTCCACTGAAGTGCTGTTGCAGCTGCTGCTGCGTGGCCGCCAGCGCAGCGGCATGCGCAAAATGGCGCGAGTGGAGTGTTGTAGATGATGTTGCTGCTGCAGCTGCTTCCTTGCTGCCCTTGCCTATGGATTGCTGTTGCTGTTGTTGTTGCTGCTGCTGCTGCTGCTGCGGTTGGGACGTGGGCGAGCTGGCCGTTGAGGATGCTGCTGAGGAAGCGCCTGGCGATGTGGATGTTGCACCACGTAGTAGTTGTTGTTGTTGTTGTTGTTGCTGCTGCTGCTGATGCTGCTTCTGTTGTTGTTGCGATGCAGCGGCTGCTGCGGCTAAACGCTCAATTTCCTTGATGCGATTATAGTAATTCTGCTCGAAGGCGTTTAATATGCACAAATATTCCATGTCGGGCGGCACAAAGTGTTTGTGTCTGTGTGTTGTTTTTGTTTTTGTTATTGCGGTTGTTACTTATTCTTTTCAATAATAATAATTTATGTTTATTTTTGCACTTTTATGCAAATTTGCTCACATTTCGTGTTGACTCAGCTGCTTTGTTTGCAATACAAACAAACACAGCTACACACATATATATGTACATATGTATATGATTTGTGGTTTGCCTGATTCTCGATTCGATTCGCAGCACACGTACACTTTTCACACTTTTTGCACCACTTTACAACACTCTTTTGTGGCCAATATAAGCGCGCTTGATTTGTATAATGAAATAAATATTAAATAAAAACAGAGCAGCAGCCAGGAGCTGAATGACTGACAGACTGATAGAATGACTGACTGACCGATTGTGTGTGTGTCTGTCTGTCTGTCTTTCTCGTGTCTATTACAAACGATAGTGGCGATAGTTGTGGTTGTTGTTGTTGCTGTTTTTGAGGCAATAAGGTCGTGCGGCAGCAGCGGTCTTTTTTTTATGACTGACTTTTAGCTTATTTTTCCTTTTTTTATTTCTCTCTTGTTGTTGCTTCAGTTTATGATTACTTTTTGCGCCGCTTTCAGATACAGATACAATCTGATTCTGTCTGTCTCTCTGTCTGTTTGTTTGTCGCCGAACGCGCGCGTCTCAAGTTACAGTTGTTCTTGTTTTTGTTGTTGCTACTGCTGCTGCAGCGGCGGAGACGATGTTGACGTGCGCTTCAAAGCTTCAAGTCGACATTTAGCGAAATAAAAATAGCACGCCTCTTTTACATATGCACGTAGTATAGTTTTATGTATATATAGTATATTTGTATGTATCTATATCTGTTTATTTCTGAGTAATGATTTGCATAGAAATCAACAACAAACGTTGGGGGCGACACATGCGCCGCTCTGCTGAACTTGAGCGCCAGTTTCGCTTTCAAGAGCGTGTTGTTCACTTTGATTTGTTGTAAGTATGGATTTTTAAGTTTTGTTTTTTCACGTCACGTAGCTTTATTGTTGTCTATAAGACTTTAACTTTTTTTCTATATATATTTTTGTGAAACACGACTCGAGTTGGTGATGAACGATGACGATGGCGAGCCAACTAAGTAAGGAACGTCAATTTGAAAAGCACGCGCGCGTAGCTCCTTGCAGCTCGGCAGGCAAACTCAAACTGACACGATCACCGCCTGAGTCTGAGTGCTGAGTGCGACTCTGGCTTGAGCTCCGGGCTTTGCGCGCAGCCGAAAGCTCACTCGTCTCCGTCGCCGAAGTTCAGGTCGTCTCTCAATTTACGCGCGCACGCTCTTTTGAAAGTCTCCACACTCGCAAGTTGGCGACGTCGGCGTACAGTGCGCAGACTTTTCAGTTTCTTGTGTCGTTTGCTTTTTTTCTCTTCAAATTAAATACACTTTAATTAACGAGGGGTATTTTGAGCTGGCTATGCACTCAGTGACAGCTTTGGAATTATAAGCCATGTCTGTTAGTTAGGCGATCATTTCAGACGAGAACATAGTTTTATGCTTCAACAAACTGCTTGGGGAGAGACTCAGTCAAAACATAAAGTTGTGTTCAAAAATTGAACACTAACTAATAACCGTTGTCTTACTCTTAAAGCTATTCCATAATTTTATACCGGATGTGCACTTTCCTAGCATACCCAAAGCTTATGAAGATAAATACAAATTCTTGTTTATATAAACATACCATTATACATATATGTAGTCGTATGTTAATCAAACTTCAAGAAAATAAAAATTCTGCTCTTGCTCATTTTCGTTTCAGTTATTCACTTAAAATACCACATTCCAATTTCTATTTAAATGCTTGTAGAATCATTCAGAAATATATTTAAAGCTATGAAATAGCTCTGTATACAGGTTTTATTCATGCTGAATTCTCGAGAATATACAAGTAGTGAATTCATTCAATTACTAATTGGTATTTTGGTGTGCAGAAATTATTTGGATTACTGTAGTTCTTAGAGAAGTTGTTAATAGTAGTATTGAAATTGTCAACATAGTTTCAGCATCTTTAATATCTAGATTTGATCCTATATAGAATACGAATCTTCAACAAATCTTTTATCAGCTTTGAAGTTAAAGGGCTTTCAAAAAGAGATTGCGTCTTTTAACAGCCTCGCAATCACACAAAATTAAACACAGAATAATAAAGCTTAAATCATTCCTTTCTACATCGGCAATCCTAAAGGGTATAAACACTTTGTATTGCTAACGTGGCCGGCTTGTTGTTTGCAAATGGCCTGTCGCTATAGCCGTCTCTGGATACGGCTCCAGAGCCAGCCGTTCATTTTGGCCCATATGGTTGGCTATCGGGTTTTGTGTAGACTTCTGGCCTTAAAAGCCATTTGCACTTGCGCCAGTTGTCAGATTTTGTTGTTGTTGTTTCTGTTGCCTGTTTACTTTTTGCTCTCTTACCAATTTCCGTTTTGACTTGACTTTTGCTGTTGCTGTTTAGGTTGTTGTTGTTGTAGTTGCTGCCGCTGCAGCTATTTGCACGCTGCTTTCTTTGCATTTCGGTTTTGGGTGATTTTGTAATTGAAAAATAAAAAAACAAGCAAGACAAACAGATAGGCGGACAGGATGGACAGTCAGACAAACATTGGCACATAAAATAAGTTGCGCCCTCTGCAGCAAATTGGCCAAAAGGGTAACGAAATGGCAGCAATTGGAAATTAGCCACAGCCACAGTTGAAGTCATGCAGCGTGTATTATTGTTGTTGTTGTTGTTGCTGCTGTTATTATTGTTGTTGCATTTGGGTTGGGCTCTCAAGTTTGGGATCTTGGGGTCCGACAGACAGCGACGATATGGCCTGGCCCCCATGGCACATGGCGTGGGCGTTTTTGGGCCCGGTCAATGCATAAAGCTCATTATAATGTTTACACACAGGCACACACACAAACACAACTGTGTATGTATATGTGTGAACTGCAAAAAACAAAAAAAAAAACTGGCTTGCGAAAATGACAACAAAATGAAACAAACAATAGGTCGATCGCACAAACAACAACAATAATAATAACAGCCATGAGTGTGCCATAGACGGCGACGACGACGACGACGTCGACGTCTCTCAACTACAAAAGCCGAGTGATAGTCGTTGTTGTTGCTGCAGCTATTGCTGTTGCTGTTGCTGTTGTCGTTGCTGTTATTGTTAAAGTGTAGACTTTGCTGCCAACAGCAACAGTAACAGCAACAGCAACAACAAAACTAAAAAGTGACTGTGAATGTTGCCACTGATTGCTATTGTTGTTGCAGCACGTTGGGGCTGGGTAGCAGCAGCCATTGCTGCAACGGACTAGAAAAAAACGAAGGAATAAACGTAATAAAAATACTATATAAAAAGAAAAAAAAACAACTAAAACAGTGGTAGCCGCAAAAAGAAACACTAAAACGCAACAACAGCAGCAGCAACATGAACACCAACAACAACAGCAATGGTTTGTGTAGAAAACCCGTTTTTAATTCAATAGCAGGCCCATGAAATTTTACGCCCGATTTGTACAACTACTACTGTTGCCAACAACAGCAACAACAACAACAACAACAGACGAGCATGAATTACAGCAGCAACAACAACCACATCTATAGCTGCAACTAAAACTGTTGCGCTTTAGAACACTTTCGAAAGCATTATGTATATGAGAGAAGCTGTCGGCTGCAAGCACAGCAGCAACAGCAACAATCGAATTATCAATGGATTTCATCTATATATATGTACATACATGCTATATATATAATATATCGATCTATATTTTCTATGTGGTAATATCTATGTCCAACACGTATGCGCAATTTTCTATTGCGTACACTCGAAATGCAAATCTAATAAAACTTAGCCACAAAATGAATATGAGGAAACATAGTTTTTTTTACATGCACCGACGCGACTTATACCCTGCAAAATATATACATGAAAAACATGCATAAAGTATATATTATTAAAAATATGTACCATATTTTATTTCCCAACAATTCATTTACTTTTTATGGAATGCGAGAACCACTTAAGAATCAAATTTGTTTGCTCTTTTCTATCAGAGTTGAACAGAGTTGTGAAAAACATATGAAAATAATCAAAAGAATATTGGGAAATGTATAACAGAATTAGATGTTGCAAGGAGCGCATAATACATATAACACATTGCATAATGTAGCAAGTGTTTCTTCTGGTTTCAACTTTAAAAGTATAGTGTTATTTATTTCAATCATTGTTTCAATTGTTATTTTACTTAATAATCGGACTTTTCTATAATCTTACTATTTTCTAACAAGTTAATAAATAAAGGTATAATATATAACAATGTCGGTTAACTATAATTACAGCTGCTTGACAACTTTAAGTCTCATTTTTGACTAAATCGATGACGGCTTGGGGCCATTATAATGGTAACGGAAGCGTGTCTTGCTTATTAAAAAGTTAAGTGAAGAATTCGATTCATGTTCTATGTGCGAGTAAGCAGCGAACCAAAACAAAACCTTAACATGATGCAAACCAAAATTAACTCTTGAAATTCGATTTTAATTACTTCATTATGCAGGGGAAGCACAGCATAACCGAATTGTCAATTACATCACTCTCAATCAAGAACATGTTTCGTGTTTATGAAGAGTAATGCTTGAATTTACACATCCTAGCAGAATTTCTATAGGTACAGTCGATTTATTGCTCTAGCATGTTGTTGAAGATTAACCAGTTGTGAGAGTTTTAAGTTCTTATACACGGTACTTTCTTCACTTTTCCTGCTATCTAACCTTTTCCTGTTAGGAAACTTAGGCTGTAAATGGGACTTATTGGACGGACCATAACACATCCCCTTCGTTGCTTGTAACCCTCGTATTCTACATACACCTGTTTGATTTTTTTTAAATAGTATAAACATTAAGTTTAATTATTAATAAATGAAATAAACATTTTATTGATCACATTGCATATAACCGATTTTAGAGTGTATAGGCAAACAACCTTAATACTGAAATACATATTGATTGACTAACTTGCCGGACCAATTGATGGACTAACTGAGACAGACTTGACTTCATTTGGCCTGGCCTGATCTAGTCTGGCCTGGCTTGAATTTTGCGATTTTTTTTGCATCGCTTACTCATCAATGCTGTGTGCGAAAATTTGTAGTGTAGCGTGAAACAAGCGCACGCATGCGCAACGAGGTCAATCGAATGGCAATCATGACAGCAACAACAGCAGCAACAGCAACAACTATAATAGCAATATTAGCAGCAATAATAGCAAAAGTGACTAAAGCCCCTACAAAAGCTACAATGAAAAGAAGCAGACTGTCTTAATCAAGATCAAAATAGTTTTCAGGTGCTTGGGGACGGCCCAAATCGTTGGCGTTCTTTAAACCTATTATGTACAGTCTATATAGTATGGATGGGGAAACCCCAAGCAAATAAATAATTGCCAAAAATAAATAAAAAATGTTTGCTCGTATAATTAAAAACAAGATGATGTGCGGAAAACATGGTTATTACCTGAGTTTCTACTTATGAAGGCCTTTCATTTTCTGCATACTTAGTAACAAAAGTATTTTAAGAGTTCTGTTATTTTTATAAGAGCCCGAACGAAGAGCCGTCGAAGCCATTCAAAAGGCTTGTGTACCACAATTCTCAAAGACATGCGACCTAAAACACTCCTTTGACATGCTTCTATTGAGTCGAGAAGGGAATATTTTGAATGTAAGAAACATATTTCTTTAATAGATCTATTAACTATCACTTCATATTAATGTATACAATCAATGTCCCTGACATTATTTATATTTCCGCGTCGGATTGCGGGAGTTTCAAAGATTTACGAAATTCGTTCGACACTTTTCACATCAGCACAGACAATATAAATGAACGCTTTAGATAAAACATCTGCCTACATTTAAATACAAACATATATTAAGTTAGTATATGAACTGGCGACAAAAAAAAAAAAAATTAAAAATATATTCGAAGTTTTCTCACGCTTGATTTAGCACCGGATGATAATGATATATAAATATGTATGTAAATATATACATAGTCATGTATCTATTTTATAATGGCAACTATATTTATGTTTTGTTGTTGGCTTCTTTGCCTATCAAATCGGCTTCTTTTTTTTGTTCTTTACAAACCG